GTAGACGCACCCTGGATCAGGGTCGACGCCCGGCGTCTTGCAGCCAGCATACGGCGTCACCGACGCCTTTGTACAGAGGTTCTATGTCTCGGTGAGACCAGAATGAACACGCACTCCGTGTCGTCCGGTGTCACCCTCACTTTCCGCTCCTCTTGAGCTCCGATGTTATATTCAACATCCGATGAAGAACCGCTAACCCCCCAGTCTTCGTCCAGTGGAAACCGTGCCACTCCACACGCATCTGGAGGACCGAGTCCAAGATTCCTCGGACTCTGTCCGACCACGCCATCAATGGCATGCAGCTACTGCTTTGCAACGAGTGCAGTGCTCAGTGGTTTTTGTGCCACTCCACGCGCATCACGAGGGCCTCGCCCTCGATGCCTCTGCACTTGGCCGACCATGTCACGCATGACACGCAGCGACTGTTTTAATACTCGAGAAGCGCTCAGTGGTTTACGTGTCACTTCATGTGCATCACGAGGGCCTCGCCTTCGATGCCTCGGCCCTCGGCCGACCATGTCACGCATTACATGCAGCGACGGCTTTGAGACTTGAGCAGCGCTCAGTGGTTTACGCGCCACTTCACGTGCATTTCATGGGCCTCGCCCTCGATGCCTTGGCCCTCGGCCGACCATATCACGCATGACATGCAGCGACTGCTCCAACACGTGAGCATCGCTCAGTGGGTTACGTGCTACTCCACGATCAGCCCGCGAGCCACGCTCGGGACTTCTGTTCGATACACCGTTGGTGTCTACCAACTCGGACATTCCAATGTCTAGCACGTTGACCGTCTCGGTCCAGTGCTATCGACAATAGCGCCTTTGGCTCCTAGCAGAGGTGGGTCATGATTCGCCAAAGCTCCACCAGGAGACGTGCGCGTAGCGCCCAAGGTCTATGACCCCCAATTAATCCATGGTTCATGGTGTTCCAACCATGCCATTCCTAGGATAAGGACATACCTTGCATCCAAGTCCGAGACAAGACAGCGTTCCACGTTATCAAAGTCAAGGAACTTGACTCCGAGGTCCACAGGGACCTTCGGGACCGAGACACGTGTCCCTGTCGCTAGGCGAACAGTGACGATGTCACCCAACCGCGCGTTCAGCGCCTCAGCATACAGCTGATTTCCCTCCATCGTTTAGCGTCGAGCATAATTACCCGACGCCCCAGAATCGATGAGGATCTC